ATCTATTTTTTAGAAAATGTAGTAAAATCCAGATGAAATTCTGAGCTCATGGCATGGTAGCACTCCAGGCACTCCTGTGATATGATTTTTGGTCAACCTCAGTGCAGAACTTCACTTGATAATGACAGTCATAACTATATTAAGAGCATATTAACCTTATTAATTACATAATGCCTGTCTTCTACTGACTTGCAAAATTTACTTTACAAAAATTACTTTACAAGACACTTAATGTCACCATATCAAGATGAAAGAATTAAATGTCATCATTTATTATTCCATCAGTAAGTAAACTGAAAGACCTGCTGCAGAACTTTCGTTAAAAATATATTGTAATTTCTGTACTGACCATGAGACTGGTAATCTGCAATATGAACATAGTTTCCTTTTCCATTAAATCTAAAAAATGTCTGGCTCACCTTTTTCACATTAAATTTTTAATGAAAGAGTCATGACAATAACTACTCTTTACAGAATAAATATTTGAGTTAAAAAGGTGAGTGTATGTGAACTAGAAAAATTGTAACTCTAACATGAATTTGCAAAATGCAGAATATATCTTGGTGAGGGAAGTATATTATTCTTGTTTTCAACTACTAAATCATTTATTTATTTTCAAAAATTAAGAAGTAAAAAATTTATTTATTTATTTATTTTAATTTTATTTTACTTCTCAATATACATTGTAATTGATTTTCATGCCCCTTTACCCATTAAAAAGTAAGTAAATATTTGCTTATTTCATTTCTAGTCACTCAAAATTGTTCTAGTCCAAAGTTTCAAAGAGTAATATTTTATAGCTCTTATTTAATTAAAGAAACTTTTAAACATTAGAGACATTGAAATCTAAAAATAATATTACTCATAAGTATATCACCCTTCCTCCTATCTACTTGAACTTCCTATTTTTTATTTTTATTTTTTTAGATTCTGAACTGTTACATCATTTCATTAATTACCATATTAATGTCATATAAACACGTAAGCCTGTTTGTAAGAAATATCTCTAGGAAATACAAAAATGATATAAAAAGGTGGGGAGGGGTCCAGACATACATCAGATGCTTTGGTCTGAGATAAAGGAAAACCCCGGAGTGGAACCCTTGTTTATGGCCTTCGTGATTTGGAACCCCATAACTTTGTCACAGGAATGCAATCCATTAAAAGCATATAGCAGAGCCAGAGGACTTGGCACACCCCAATGGAACCTCAAACGTGCTGAACCAACAACCTCTACATAAATCATCAGGTGAATACACTCAACTGGGTCAAGTTCACCTGTGTGTCAGGATCTGCTTCTACGTGAATCACCACATTCAAAGAGAGAAACTAAAGTAATTCCCATATATGGACAGGTCTAGATGTGCAAAATGTCTAAATAAAAAATATTTTAATAGCCTTATAACATATTAACTTTACACATATATACATCACATCCAATAGTGAGAATCCTTCTTCCCCATAATTAAAATTCCTAATTGTGAAATTAATATTTAAAAACTTTAGCTTCGTGTGAGGGTAATCCAGTGTGTCTGTTTTTCCTAACATCCTTCTACAGTGCTCATGTTTACCTCCTGATTATGCTAAAGGGAGTTCTTAAACATAATTTTGAACATCAGAAACAATCTCTCCTAAACTGCATTGAAAAATACTAAGGAGTCACATGCTAAACTTCCTTAATAAGGCTAACAAAAAGCTTTCAGAGGTGGAATTTTATACTAGCAAATGTCGATTCAGACCTGTTAAATACAGTGAACAAACTTGCTTGCTACAGCAAGCATTCCACCCAAATTGACTAGGTGTGGCTTTTATTCATTGTTCAGTCACACTGAACAGAATCTGTTTTCTAGATTCCATCCCATTTAGGTTGACGTTCCCTTTATTTCCCTTTATCTAGGGGCTTATAATAAGCAAACCATATTCAATTTTGCAAAGGCAGATGTGCTCTTCTGGTATCCTAGAAACAGATCAACGTATGCTTTGCGGAAAGACCTGTAGTTCAAGCCAGTGATACAAATGGGTCTTAATATGCAACCATATAAACGCCAGGACCGGAAAATTTTAAACAAAACCTTGACTATTTTAAGAACAAAAATCAGATTATTGTGAGGGGGAGGATTAAAAAGGATAGAGAGTTGTTTGGGAGAGAGTAGGTACCAGAGAAATTAAGTAAAATCATACATTGCTTCTGTAATAATATCAGGATCCATAAAAAAAGAAATTTCTTCAAAGTCAGACTGGTAAATGCCACTTAAAATTGTTTAATTTAGCTCAATTATCACTCACAAAACAGCTTCCTAGATCACGGAAAAAGAGCACATCAACTGTCTCAAGGTTAGATTTTTGTACACACACTAACTGCAGAAATTATACCACATCACAGCAGCTATCGTTAAACAATCTACAAAGTAGGGAAGCAATTTCCAATTGTTCCCTGGAGTCTTCTAAGTAATGCCTTGTATCTTGTGATATCCTATAAAATAAATTATACTCCTGTGAGTCATATCAGTCATCTTCAGCAGTCTGAAATCTGAAATTACCCTCATTGAAGAAAAAAAGGGAAATGTATTCTATTATATAAAGCATGGAGAATCAAATTAGAAAGCACAACTCAAGAGGATGAAAACTCAATAGATTTCTTACTGGATTCTAAAAAAGCTACTCCCTGTTCTCCAGCATGAGCGAGCATAAGCAATAATGCATAAAGGGTGAGACTTGGAATGGGGATACTCTAGCAGAGTCTGAATAGAAGGTATATAGTCCGACTTCCCTCTTTACCCCAACTTTATCCCATCCATACCTTGCTCTCTGATTCTCTGAAACAGGGTATTTGATGGGTGCCCTGCAGCTGTCCCTTGACTTTTGAGAAGATATATGCTCCAGCTCTAGAGAAAATGCTGGGCTTAGGTGTTTGAAAATAAAATCTGGCTCCTATTCTTTGCTCATCTGAAATTGGGACATCCCATGAGAGGTTGAGTAATAATGGTGAGTTAAAAGCTCCCTTCCTTATAGTCACCTTTGACCAACATCCCCCCATCCCCTCACCCCCAACCCCGAGGATCCACCTTTCTACACTCTGCTTTGATGAGTTAAACTTTTTTAAAGATTCCACATGTAAGTGAGATCATACATTATCTGTCTTTCTCTGTCTGGCTTATTTCACTTAGTATAATGCCTTCCAGGCTCATCCATGTCATCTCATTTTACACTGTATATCAAGTCATCATGTTGTACACTTTAAATATATACAATTTTATTTGTCAATTATACCTCAATAAAGCTGAATAAAAATTAAACTTCCCTTGCTTTATTCCCCATCTACTCATATTTCTGGACTCACCAAGCACGTTCACTTCTCTGTGGTTTTGCTCATACTATTCTCAGTATCTAGGAGGCTTTCTCTTCCCCATTCCCTTGGAAGTAAGGAGGAACTGAGATACTTCAGTGTGTGAAAGCCCAGGAAAGAGTGTGAACAAGTTCAACCATGTAAAGTATGACTGAGGATCAAAGAGGAGCTCTGAAGAGCTCACTGGTGACCTTCTGGCAACTAATTTATCAACATAATTAATCAGCAATGAGTTCCAAGGCAAATATTTTTAGTAAACTAATAGCCCAGGACATGAAATCTGTTTATTTTACTTAAATCTGCCTAGACATTGTGGAAAGAGTAATATCATGATTAATAACTTTAGTTAATCTTCAATGTCCCTCCCACCTGTTTTTGCATTTATCTATAAAGATGCTCTAGTTAAAGCGTGCCATATCAACGCAGATCTCCTTGAATTTTGAGAAGCAACTTTATACTGAGATAGGCTTTGCTGAGAACAGATTGTCCTCGCCCACATTTTCACATCTAAATACTATACGCATCTTTCAGCTTTTAGTGTGTTTATTACATAGTCACTGATGAAATGGGAAACAAAGGTAACATAGTCCTTTCAGATTTATCGTGTTAATGGTTTAGCAGAAGTAGGTCAGCTGAAATTAGAATGAGACACTACTGAGCTAAATGCGAGACCTGAAGAACTGTAGCAGAAAAGAGACGGTTGTCAATTCCGAGAGGTGGAAGATCAAAATGCAACTTTGTATTTTAAGGTACCAGGACAAGATGAATTCTCAATAGGACGATATGAATAGATATAGCTTAATTACTTTTTAAAGGAGTCATTTAAAACTCACGGATCCACAAAAATACTAGACACTTTTCTAGAATGACACCAGAATTTTATTAATTTCTGCACAGAGAAACTCTGTAGCTAGGTTAAGGTAAAACCACAATCAAATACCTGGCCAGTATTCCTCCAGATTGTCAAGGCCATGGGAAATAGGAAAAAGACTGAGAAACAGTCACAGACCAGAGGAGCAAGAGGAGACAGAATTCAAATAAATGGGCTGCGGTACCCTGGATTGGATGCTGGCATAGAGAATACATTAATGGAAAACCTGGTGAAGTCTGAATAGTCTGGAGTTTTTAATAGTAAAGTGTGAATGCCAGTTTCTTGGTTTTGACAAATCTACCATGATAATATACCAAGTTAACAGTGGGGAGACTGGGTGAGGGATAATACAGGAACTCTCTTTACTACCTGTGCAACTTTTCTGTAAATCTAAAATTATTTCAAAATTAAGTTTATTAAAAAGCAACAACAACCCCCCCCCATCAAAGAACAAGGAAACTTGTTAATGTCCTAGAATTCAAAGATTTCCATGTAACAATGATCAAACTTCCTCCACATCTTAATATACCCCTCTTCCTTTATTAATATTCTTCTATAAACTAAACTCATGCATAAATGCAACTAGGTTTTCAATCCAACATACCCAATTGCTCCCTTCACATGCACAGCTCTGTAGTGTCAATTAACATATTAGCTTGTGTCCTAAATCCTGTTCTAATTTCCCAAAAGCCCTGCAAGGTTATTCTAATGTAGATATATATTCTTTAAAAAAAAAAAAAAAGACACACACTGGCAATTTTCAAAGACATAGCTGTGACTTACGAGTGATGACATTTGAGCGTTTTGGAGCATAAGCTGCATCTGCTGGGCGAACATGGCTGCGGCGGTCTTCTGTTGAATCAGATTGTTGCGGCCATTAATTTCCAGCTGAGTTTTTAAGTGTGGAGGAGGGTGAAGGTACTTGCAGTTTTCTCGAGTACACCGACCCTAATAACAAAGAATTAGACAAATTTGTATCTATTTATTTTATTTTTTGATGGCTGGCAGGTACGAGGATCTGAACCCTTGATTTGATGTTATCAGCACCATGCAAATTTGCACTTAGTATTTCTAAAAATCAGATAAGATTAAGAAAATAATAAGAGTTTATTAAGCTCTTAGTATGTGCCAAGAACTGTAATAAGCACTTTACATGAGTTACTCATTTAATCTTCATACCAACCCTGTATCTTCATCTTCCAGGTGAGGAAACTGACACTGAGAGAGGCTAAGTGACTTGCTACGGATGCACAGCTAAAACGTGACAAAACCAGAACTAAAACCCAGTTAATCTGATTCCAGAACTCATTCTCTTAGCTGCTCTGCTCTGCTTTGATATGTATCACGTTATATTTAAAACATAAAATACTAGGATTAGTTTATCATCATAACATTACAAATTCAAATAAAAATTTTTCAACATGAGATGTAAAATCATGCATGTTTAAATTAAATAAGACTCAGGATTTGGATCTACATATACAAGAAAATCTCTACATAATCAAGAAAATTCAGGGAAAATATTTAATAAATACTCAAACATAAATTTTGGACTCAATCATTCAGGACAATCTAGGCTCCAAAGATTTTTTCCCCAAACTTATACACTGTGAGAAACATCATGAAATCCACTGACATTCTGTTACTCAAAGAATAAATCCCTACACCTGGCATGTTGTTCTTTAGGTTCCAGAGGCAAGGGCCCTACATCACTTGGAATTGAGACCAAACTTCATTTGGATTCTCAACTATCTGAATGTTTTATTGATGGTTTAAGCACTTTAAAGACAGAACAATATGTCAGTTCTGTAGAATCAAACGTGCCTTTGGTGTCACCTAAATGCTGACATCGCTGCTGATTATGGTGTTTATTATGTGACAGCAAAGGATGTCACTGGACTAGTTGTTTATTCCATTGTCATAATGTGACCTATTATCGTATTTAATTCATGAGCACTATACAAAGCAGCTAATGATTCTCTCATTTGATTACTAGGTCCACCATCATCTTTTTAAGCAAGCAACTCTTTTTTCCCACAGATGCTAAGATTCTTTACAGTACATGAGGTTATTGGGGCAGGGGGGCGGGGGAGGAAAAAAAGCAACCTTTTTTATTTTGGACCCAAGAGTGCAAGTTGCTAGGCCACCTGAATTCCCAGGAGAAAAATGAGTTAGTTCACCAAGTGTTTTCATTCAATACATGCTGTGCATTTTCCTTATTTATGATGCCTAAATGGTTTGCACAATCACTTCTCCATATTTAGTTATCTTGTTCTTAAAGCATTCCTATAATTGCACTGAGAGTCAAGATGCGTCCTTCAAAACTTTTATAAAGCTACAAATAATGTAACTCCAGATAGATTGCAACTGTCCTTAAGTATCACTGGGACCAGATGGCTGTACTGTTTTACCTCCCCTGGCAAGAAGCTGAGTATAACATAAAACTTAGTGTGAGAAATTAAAAGATACACTATGTTTTTTTTGTCAAGTTTGTCCTATTATTTCTCCCATTGATCATTTTACTTTCAATCAAGTTAAAATCATTTCCAAAATCAACTAATACCTTAGTTTCAATGTACCTGTACATTTCTCTGCAAATCCTGGAAAAAGAATTTATTGGTAGTTAACAGTTGAGAGTGGTATTAACCTAATCCTCCTGAATTCAAATCACAATAATGGGGGTCTTTTCCCCACTAGTTTACCCCTAAGAGAAACTGTAAGCTTCTTTTTACACCTACCACAACCTGCACCAAATCAAAGACAGCCGTAAGGATTTTAGTCCCTAGGTTCTCCACCAGCTCCAACCCACATAACTGAGGGTTACAAAGACAGCCACAAGGATTTTAGTTCCTAGATCCTCCACCCTCCACCCACAGAACTGAGGTTATCTAACTTAGAATTAACAGCCTGAAGGAGGCAGTGGCACTTGGTGACCCCCACAGCCAAGCACGCTAGTGTATACTTCTACTTTGGGGTTTCTCTTCCTTCTCCCACACCCTAACATTAAAGATTTCCCCAAGGCTCATCCTAAATCCTCTGCTCTCTTCTTTAATCTTTTTCCCCTGGAGAAATAAAGTTGTTCCAAAGTTTCACGTATCATTGCAATTGCTCAGATCTTAAATCTCTATCTGTACCTGTGACCTCTCCTCTGAATTTCGGTCCTTTTTATTACCAATTGCAGCTGCATTTGGAGATCCTGCCTCGTAACCAGATCTAAATAACTTACTCCTGACCTCCCTTTTCCTCTGACTATTTTTCATCTTGCTGCATACTCACATTTAGGGTCATTGCTCCAGTTGCTATGCTTTGGGGCAGTCACACAGCAGCAGTGAGAAAAGAAATTAGGCAGCTTTTGAGCAGGATTGCTTTAGGACTGCTAGACACCTAGATAGCTTGTTTAGACAATTAGCATACATGACCAGAGAACACAATTTTTAACCCCTCTGCAAAAAGAAAAAGCTGAATTCCAAACAGTAGATTAGTTTAAAAAAGAAAGAAAAAAGAACAATTGGGATTTCACTATTTGTTACATTTTAGAGTCTTTTATATTTATATCATCTACCCTGAATGCAATCAGAGAGAGAGAGAGAGAGGAAGAAGGGAGGAGAGAACACAGCGTGTTTGGCAAATTTCCTACCAATCTATAAAGGGTTGAACATGCCTTTGTGCCTGTCCTTGCAAATAACTTTTCTTCTTAAGCTTTTTCTTGGGAAACTAATGACATTTTTACAAAGCAAAAACAGTAAACAGAGATAGAAAAAAAGAGAATTACACTTTAAAAATTACATCAAATTGGACAATAAAACTAAAGCATTGGAATATGAGGCAGCAGGAGGTTTAAAAAAACTTATTCATCTTAGTTATGAGATTTTACTGGATTTATATTTTTTTGAATGACAGAATCCATAATTTAATTCTATAACAATGCAAATGCACAACACCACCTTACCAAAGACTGCTGCTTATGTTAAAGAAATCTTATACAATAAAAAAAAAAATCTGCATTTTTCTATGCAAACAATAGATGAGGAGACCAAGTAATTTAATATCTGTTATCTGTGGGAAACAATGTTTCAAAAGAAAACCAAACCCCTCGTGTTTTTTCAAAATGACTTTAGAACTCAGGATAATGCATGTATATGCACAACACTTGGTGATAATAAATCTCCTCTACATAGCATTCATTCTTCAAGAGGCCAAAACTTAATTACAGGCCACAGTATTTTAACTGGCATTTGGGGGGAACAAACTTTGTATGTGACACTTGTTAACACTTGCTTTTAATCCTTGTAGGGGATTGAGGCTTTGGCAAAGCATGTATCAATGGGATACAGTGGGGGTTGGTCATCACCTATTATCTTTGTCCTTTGGAAAACCAATGACTATGAACTAGAAAGGCTCCACTGGTTTCCCTGGGCCAGCTAAGCACTCTGAGTGGGTCACAGGATACCCTATAACACTGGGTCTATAACAGCCCATAAACTATCTTGGGGCTGAAAAAAAAATCACTCCTCAGGTTTCCCTATCCAAGTCAATGGTGTCCCAAGCCCTCCTTCCAATTTCGACCTACCGGTTCGGAGTTACCATGTACTAGCGCAAAGTATTAGATCATGTCATAACTCTATAAATGTTGAACCTATGACACTGCCATCCTCTGGCAGAGCAGACTATATTCTAAAAACAGCAGCTAAGGCTAGTCAAGACACTTAAGTATCTCTGTCTGTATCTCTCTGTCTGTCTCCCCCCACACCGTCCACATGCACACAAAATTAAGGAAGTCAGAGTGCAAGGTAATGTATGCTTGCGTCAATTTCTCTTCTTTTCCATTTCCTTATAGCTTTAAAAAACACGTCATTCTCATCTGGCCTTTGACTGTGTTACTGAGTTAAGAAAATAGCAGAGTGATTCATAGGAAAGTGACTCTTTGCTGAAATAAGTGCTGTTACACCTATGCATCTGCCAGCTCCCCTTTTTCATCTACTGTCTTTGAAAATACACCCAAAAAGCAGCAGGGGGAGAAAATGGACAATGACATTTCCGAACTACGTCTGCATCCAAAACTTGATGACAAAGGAAAAAGTTATGGAGCATTTATAAATCCTCCCAAACTCAATCTATTGCTTTTTGCCTACCTTCAGGCTTTTCAGAAACGAATACAAAGCCTTTGACTGAGAAAGAAAAGTAGCATTGTAGAGATTCAAATTCCAGCTAAGTCTTGGGACTTCTTAGAGTCAGAGTCTGTCAGACACAAGACTTCCCATGCACTTGGTGGCAGAAAAACCCTGTGAAATGTACTTTTTTAGGTTCATGAGAGAAAGCTCTACCATCCATCAGAATAAGAAAAGGACCCTAGGAAGCTGAAAATTACCCTTTGTCCGTCACAGAAACAGCTGTTGCAGAATGCCTTGCTTCTTCAAATACATTTGGAGTTATAGGGGGAAAAAAACCCAAAATACCCTCTCTCAAATACAGTTATAACTGGAATACCTTTTCAAAGGTAATGTCTTTTCAAAGACATGATCTCACTGACCTGTTAGACTAAGACTTACATGTTAAATAAAGGCACCAAACATGATTTGTTTCATAAAGAAAAATTTTATTCCATTTTAAGGATCATGTGTTGAATGAAAAATCCTACTGATATTACTGCCCCACTATAACATACTTACGTGCATAGATATGGCTTCTAAGAGGAAGTAACAGTGATTTTAGAATTATAAATCATATATAGTAGGTTGCCTGGTTCCTGCAAACATCAAAGACATATTAAAAGCTAGGAAAAACCCGAAAGAGCTAAAAGCAAGTCAATATCAACATAAATTGAGTACTAGCCAGATATCAGCATACTAATGGAAAATTTCCCACTTTCTTCCTCATAGAATTCTGCCTTTCCAAAAATGGATATAATCTGAAACTTTCTCCTCCAAATATTGTATCATCTATAAATA